TGCGATATATTGCGATCCTGGTACCCATATTCTAATGTATTACGATATTGCGATCCTGGTACCCATATTCCAATATTATTGCGATATATTGCGATCTTGGTACCCATATTCCAATACGTATTGCGATATATTGTGATCCTGGTACCCATATTCCAATACGCGATTGCGATATATTGCGATCCTGGTACCCATATTCCAATATGTATTGCGATATATTGCGATCCTGGTACCCATATTCCAATACGTATTGCGATATATTGCGATCCTGGTACTCATATTCCAATACGTATTGCGATCCTGGTACCCATATTCTAATACGTATTGCGATCCTGGTACCCATATTCCAATGCGTATTGCGATATATCCTGCGATCCTGGTACCCATTCCAATACGATTGCGATATATTGTGATCCTGGTACCCATATTCAATACGCAGCATTTTGCGATATATTGCGATCCTGGTACCCATATTCCAATACGTATTGCGATATATTGCGATCCTGGTACCCATATTCCAATACGTATTGCGATATATTGGGAGCTTCAGTGTTTTGACAGTGAGTGACAGATTGTACATGCATGCTATTTTCTGAACACCAAAACCTTTAAAACAAGTTTTATGGTTGTGATAACAGAAATATTGAATTTAGATTTGATTTCGAGGGATTGAATTTTCTTTTTCTATTTTTTTGCATGTAAAGTATGCTGTTTTAACAATTAATTGCAATGGAAAACTTTGGTGTGAATGGAAGTCTGTATAGATCTTTACTCAAAGGTCACATGCAACGTAAAACACAACTTTGCAGAATGCAACTTCTGTTTTATTGACATCTATGTGTCTGCCTGCCTGTATGCTAATGACAATATTCAATACACAACTTTGATCACTGACCACATGCAATTTGAACTTAACACCTATCAGGCTATACACGTATTGATTTATGGCCCGAGTTTGGTCTCTGTCACATTATGTAATTACACAGACAGGCAGGTGTGATACTTGTACACATGACATGTTATGATGTCTGTTGATTGCAAAATGTTATACATAAAAAATGAGCATGTATTTACAAAACCCAACATCTCTATACACACACACACAATGAGCCGTGAGGGCATCTGCAAATGAACCAGCCACTACACTTGAGTGCACACCCACCCGCTCTGACTGGGTTCGGTATCCCGGGTGCTTTGCTTGAAGGGAAGTACACCCAAGTGGAGAGGGCTTATTTAAGTTGGATAACTTGTGCCCAATCCGTTTCTTAATTGAATAAAATATGTTTCAATCAATCAACCCAAGTACAAAATATTGCACTTTTGATTTGCGATTGTACGCTTATAATTTTGTTTATATGTTTTTTCATAATCAGCAATGTATATTATATGTCATGAATAAGTGATAATTGCGTTTTAATTATGTTTGATTTTTTGGTTGCATGTGACCTATAAACGATAGACATAATCATAAAACTTCATGTATTTTCATTACCCAATATACCGGTCCTTAGAAAAAACATTGCAATACGTATCGTTTGAAAGGTGTATTGTGACATACCAGTGATACCATGCAGTCCTACCCGACACCTTATCTCTGCCTCCTTGTGTCTATATTTGGGGACTTGATGCACTTTTCTGATTCTTTGTACAAGCAGTTCTTAGAAACTCAGCCCCAGCCTGAACTGTTTTCTGCAGAGCTAGAAACGTCATGCATCGTTTCCTCTTCAGTGAAATATGTAGTTACCGTTTAAGCCTGTCTCAGGGGTTTATTCACTGTAATTCCCAATCTATTTATACCCCATCTGTCACGATGCGCATTGTACTGGACCCGCAAGTCAAGTCCCAATACCGAACTGTTTATATCAAATAGGCAACAATGTCACCGTGACATACATGCAAAATTATACACTTGGGTTGTCATCCATTCATGTAATTTTCATTTTGCCTTTTAAGCCCTAGAAGCTGTTTTGGCAGATAATCAAGACAGGTTATCCTCTCGTACTACTAAGTGTGTATGTTTTATAAGGAAAGAAATATACGGTATATGTTTAAACATGTTTGTTTGCTTGTTTTCCGTATACTCAACATGATCAATGATTTGAATACCTGCTTTCTATGAGTCTGTTACCAGGTCTGCCGCCATGCCTTAACTCCTGAGATCGAGAAAAATAGTTAAATAGTAGAACAGGAGCACTTCAAGCTGTCATTAAACCAAGAAGACGGGAGCAAGCAAAACGTCTTCCGACATTACACTCTATAAGGGCAGCATTTTTATTTTCTGTGTTTCTCATCGCCCAACCGACCCTTCTACTTTTATTGCCGACCTAAAAAACCCCTTCTTTTTTCTATTCCAACACGCTGACCCGAATCTAAAACTTTCCGCCTCATCATATAAAATGTTTATCTTCTAATCAGTGGCTGCCACAAGTCCAAAGAACGCAAGAAATTGTAATAAGAATTACATTAAATGAGAATACAAACATTATTTGGGTGTGGGTGTGGGGGGATGGGTGGGTGTGGTTCCTGACCGACTGACCCATATTCAGAATTTGGTGGCTACGTGAAACACAGCCGACAATAAGAACCTGATACACTTTCGATGTTATCAGGTTAATATCCTTTTAATGATATGAAAGTCCGCTATCTTTACCAAACTTAAAAAATAAAATCTTGCACTTCTGGTTTAGTGCTTTACCTCTTGGAACACATCACACAATCAGACTGACTGACTGAGTGAGTTTGGTTTTACGCCGCTTTTAGCAATATTCCAGCAACATCATGGCAGGGAACACCAGAAATGGGCTTCACACATTGTACCCATGTGGGGATTCGAACCCGGGTCTTCGGCGTAATGAGCCAATGCTTTAACCACTAGGCTACCCCACCGACCCACACAATCAGAGTGAATAAGTGAGTGAGTATGGTTTTACGCCGCTTTAGTTTTAGCAATATTCCAGCAATATCACGGCGGGGGACACCAGAAATGGGCTTCACACATTGTACCCATGTGGGGAATCAAACCCGGGTCTTCGGCGTTACGAGCCAACGCTTTAACCACCAGGCTAACCCACCGCACCTTACACAATCAGAAGCATTGGGTTCACAAAGTGCACTACACAAAGAAAAGAAAGAAAAAAGAACTACCTTTAGATCAGTTATTTCACTGACCTTGACCTTGAGTAATGACAAGTGAGTAAACATCTGAATAAAACATCTAAATTTTTCAATAGCATATTTCTTTCATTACATATCGCAATAAAAGCAGTGAAACTGGAAGTTGGCTGGTGCAACTAGGTTTTTATCTCAGGTTGCACCTGGTGTAAGAAGGTTAGCATCTCGTAAATTGAGCCCTGCCTAAGGTTATGCAGCATATCAACCAAATATTTGGTCTCTAGGTGACCTTTGAACAAACAATTAGGCCATGCCACTCATAGAAAAGACAGTTGTAGATGTCAATAACATAATGTTTGTCATATTCAGCAGTATTCCAGCTAAAAACCGTGGACTGTAAATGTCTGAGTCTGGATCGGGTGTATAGAAATAGGATATATTATAATTGTATGTATCAACTACGTCACCAAGCCTGACTAACCAACAAAGACAGACAGACACACACATTTGCTATTTGCATGTCAACAGAACAGTTGGACGGGTGAACGTGAGTAAGTTAATATTTAGCCTCACATCGGCAATATTGCAGCCATATCATGACGAGAAAAATTTAATTTTTATTAATATTAAAATCAATAAATATAGAACGTAAAAACCTGTCATCGAAGGACAGTAAAAATACTAGATATCACAGCAGTAAAAATACTAGATATCACAGCTCTTAATTCAAAACTAGTACGCTATCATAAAAATATATCACTCGAGACAACAGTACAATATAAAAAATGGGCTATAGATCACCAGCAACTGAAGGTTAATCACCATACTGGGGACCATTACAGTACCTTTGCTCAGTCACCTGCATGGGCCCTAGTTGGATTTACACCATACCTTCAGCTGTTGGTGATTGTTGGAAAATTAACCCATAACTTAAAATCCCCAAAATCTGACGTTTAAAAATCTGGTAATTTAAATGTACTTTGAAAGTGTGGGGACTTATGTACCCTCTCAGGAGGACAATAGAAAGAATGTTCTTGCAGAATGATCAGTTGTGTTATGACAAACAAGGTTAGGGAAGGGGAACATATTGTTGGTAGGAATGGTACATTCCAAATGTTAGTTCCGAATGCACATAAGGAAAGGGCTCATGGGATAGAATGGCGGCCCCCATACATGTACACAGACTAGCAGAATAAATGACGTTATCCTGATAATCACTGTTTGTCAGCACTGGACATGAACCTGAGAATATGGTTGAAACTGTTTCAGCATTTATTCTCAGTTTTTTCTACATAAACAGGACAGCGTTTGAATTTCCTTTCTTACAATGCAAGTTGCATGTTCAAACTGTTTAGTGAAATAGTTCTTAAGTCAAAGGAATTTGAGTTTAGTATGCATAACATATAAAACAACACAAAAAACACCTCTCTATAAATGTTCAGACTTGAATTATTTATATATAGCCATGTAGGTGGAATATTGCAGAGTGCGACATAAAACTAAACTCACTCACTCACTATAAATGTTGTGTTTAGAGGGTGATTTTTTTCTATGTGAATATTATGCTATCCACAGAAACATCGAAATCGAGCGCCTGAAATGTTTCTTTGGGAAAATGTTTCAAGGCCAGTTAATTATTATGGTTATATGGTCTCTGATTTCAGCAATTATTCTGTCCACTAAATTGTGTGTTTATGATTTTCATCTGATCTCAGTGAATATACAGGTCTATTGGAACCCAGTCTACACACTAACATATGATATTTAAGCGTAACAGGAAATAGGTCACGACCAGCCCGTAAACATTCATTTACTTGTGTTGAAAGAGAAAGCATGATCATGACAACCTCAAAAAGATCACGAAACAGAGACAGAAACATTCCATAACATACCTGCATCATCCGTTGTTGAGAACAGTTTGTTTTGAAGCCATTAAACAGTCGGGTACGAATATTTTTCCTGGACGTTCCCCCCGTTAAAACGCAGTAGGAAATCCCAGCTCTCAACTGTGTCTTTTTATAAATCCAGCACTGCCAGGAGCTAAAGTGGGGAATTCCCTTCGATGCTCCGACCCGAAGCGATGCAATCCAAACGGTGAAACCGAGCTCGAGCTGACAAGAAATATCTTCCTAAAATATCTAGTTTGTACTTTTTTGTATAATAACTTCCCAAAGTTGATTGCGTGAAGCTGATTTATAATTTTGATGACTGAAGCAAAATCAAATTTCATTCACTCCCGATAATCAGAGTGTGGGTATTTGTTTTAGGTTGTCACAAGTCTAGGGGAGATAACTCATTTGTTTTAATTTTTTTGCGAGGTTAGTGTGCCCCTTTCGCTGAGCTCCATTAAATGACTGTTATGTGCTGTACACATTAATAGGATGTATTTGGGGCATTTGAGTTAATAAAAGTTTTTCTTGTAGTAAAGTGACCATAATTATTTTTCAGCTAATTTTGGACTGATCATAAAGTTATGGCGTGTGGGTGTGCATGCGTGCGTGCGTGCGTATGTACAATGTGAATGACACCCACCCATCCCCGAATGTTCACTGTTTATGCACAAAATTGCTGCCTCACCCCCACTCCCAAGTGCACATGTACACCCCTACCCCAAAACAAAATGGGTGACGTGTGTTAGAAGGATCACTCTGTGAAATATGTACCACTACAACCAAGACTGGTGATTTTCATTTTTCAAATACCTTTGATCTAAAGATTGCATGTAGCATACAGTGATTAGTTTTGTCAGCTGACACAGTGTGCCACTACATGTGACTGGAAATAACAACCTGCAACTGAGTCAGTTTGTCATTCACAGCTGGTTTATTTTGTCATTCAACAACATGACTGATCCCCCATAGATGAAATTTCATGGTATTTAAACTGAACCCCAATCTTTTCACCAGCTAAATTTATTAAAAACGGAATTGAGATGAAGTCCAAATTTGTACCTGCTGACAAAGACTGCGGACAGGTGTGGGAGTGACCATGTTCTTGAATGCCATAAACCCATTATGGATTCATCTATGACAGACTGTTATGGAGACATTTCCAAAACTCTGGAAGATTTAGATATTGTCTGGGTTCAAAATGAGTTGGTAGCCAAACAACTGGTACAAATTGGTGTATAGTTATATAAACCAAGTACACTTCAAATGTAAACTGATCGAGCGTGACCTAGTGGTGGTCCGATTAATTGAAATAATCGAAGATTGGTCATAGTGACTAAACGACAAAGCAATCGATCATAATTTCTCATAATTGAACACAAACAATTCTGGAACACTTGTTTTCATCAACAATATTTTTCACACGGTTGGTTTTGTCTGTTTCATTTTGTAAGCACTACAAGCTCGTTTCAAGTCATGATTGAATTTATCTTAAAGATTCCAAGAAATTTATGTTCCTACATACTAGTCATACTTTAAAGATGTGAAATTTTGCCAAAACCCCAAAAAGAACTACATTTTTTTCCTTTATTTTTATGTGTATTAACAAATTTCATAAATGACGCTTACCAATTATTTTTGATGATTGATCGGTAGTAATGAACCAATCATCAATTATGGGAGTTTAACCAATTCCCAACACTAGTGTGACCCTATCAGCACAGCCGTTGTATATGTGTAGCAACAAGACTGCAACTTTTGTATCATTCAGAGAAAAATAGGACAGATTAAAGCAGTCACTATTGAAATACTTTATTCCTTGTATTGATATCAAAATGAGGATTAGAACATACACTGATAATATGAATAATTGCATAGGTCACAGATGAAACTAAGAACAAGCCCAAATGGTCTGTTTATCAAGTGAGATGAGATGAGGTTTAATGGGGATTAACACTGCGATCAATGGTACTGGTTCATTATAGTAATGAGTATTTGTGTGGTTAACAAACTGAAATACAGTTTAACATGGACACCCAACAAAATGCTGACTGAACTGTTTGCTTGTTTAAGGCCACATTCAGTATTATTCCAGCTACCGGGTATATGGCGGTGATCTATACATAATCAAATCTGGACCAGACAATCAAGTGATCAACAGTATGAGCATCAATCTGTGCAGTTAGGATATCATGACATCAGTCAACCAAGTCAGCCGAACCTGACCACCCGATCCAGTTAGTCGCCTCTTACGACAAGCATGGGTAGCTGAACACCAATTCTAACCTGGATCTTCATTCCGAACTGACCGGTGCTTGTTTTGTTCCCTTTATGGGGAGCGCCATCTCACGCAGGGAAACAACAAGTACCTTCTTTTAACATCTTCCAGTGTGCCTCAGCCAGGAATCAAACCACCAACCTTACACACTCTGGGGCAGACAAACTCTCCAACAGACTACAGACACAGTATTTACCAAGTGTGACTACACAACAAGCACTACTGGTAACTAGGGCTGGCTATCAGTATACATCATCAAGATCAATCATCGTTAAATCAATATTGATTGATCATCAATAAATAACGAAGAAGTGCCTTTGAGTCATAGTGACTAGAAAGTATGAAAGAAATCAACACATTTCACGTCAGTAGGTGAGCGGTGACATATGCAGGCTTGGATGACCAACAAAACGTCGTCCTGAACATACCTAGGAGCAGCCCACAAATGAAGAAACTTTGTGTGTATTTTCTGAGTAAATTTAACAATTATTTCATCACAATAGTTCATGTGTGATATTATCGGTTACACATTACGGTTAGTTTCATATTGATAATCATTTATAACGATTCCTATCGATGATATTTCTGATTACCAATCTTTTCAGCCAGCGCTACTTGTAATCAGGCAAAGTATCAAGCATCATGTCCATGGATCAAGTGACAGTGTGTAGCTACGACATCCAGCAAACCTACTTCTCTGTATAGACAGAACTCATCATACCACTTGTGTCATGTCCAAAACTGCCCTGCATATTCCAGACAACAGAGTGACTGTTTATGTATAATTTACTTTGCACCAAGAAACAATGTTCTATATTTCATTAAATTCAATAAACCATAATAAGAAGTATGATCTTCTTGCCAACAGCAGTTTATGGTGCCACCACCTAATAAATAATATTTAACATGATTAACTGCTGAATAAAGGAAGGGAGATAACTCTGATATATTAATGATAAATTATACGTGGACATTCCATCAACAGAATATTTCACTTTTTCCTTCCCTATAAGGCTCAGGACTTAATCAACCCTCAAAAGTGGTGAGATTTGGTTAAACCAGCTAAATTGTCCTTAAAACACAGTACTTGGATAGGGTACAAATAGTTTTCACTGATAACCTGAACTGAAATATTAATCTCTAAATATACCTCAAATCTATACCACTAAATCTCTACCAAAGATCCTTACTGACCATGGCAACAGATTTCACGTCCATCAGTTCAACACTTCTGTGAATTGACAAGGAATGAACATAAGAACAACAGTGATAGCTGGTGTTCATTGTTGTCAAGGAATGGCATGGTAACAACTACAGTGATGGTTAAAAACCAACCCCTCGTTACTATGGCAACAGACGTAATCATTAATCACTCATGTTCACCATAGAATGAATCAAGTCTGTTACCATGGTTACTTTAATGTTCCTTGTTTTGTACTTGGAATGAGAGAGATCAGCAAGGATGGAATCTGTCCTCTGACAGAGTCAGTTTGGGACTTGGATGTATGGTTTAAATCTGGAGCATCATGGAATCTGATCTCTACAAGACTATCTGAGTAAAAACAGACCTCAGAACGTCCTCCCACACCAGTGTAAGACTGCAGACCCATAAGATCAACATACAAGGTGTGCATAGTGTCCTTCTGAATCAGCAACTTTCTCCGAAAATACACACGGAACACTTCTTCGTTGGTACGTCTATGAACACCTTTCCTTTCCATCCAGATATCAAGGTCATCAATTTTGTCGAGGACTTTGGTGTTTAATTCACAAATCACCTCCTTGTCTTTGTACACTAGAGAGCGGATGTCGTACAAGCATGTTTTGCCTGTGCTGGTCCCAAACAGACAGAAGCCATGTAGATACAAGTCTTCATTTGTTTTGAAGGACACAGCATGGTAACAGTCATTCTCAATGCATGTCTCTTCAGATGTGCTTCGGAATCGGTGCACAGTGCGGATGTTTTCATGTGGACCTCTACGTTTCATGTTACAAAGTTTGGACTTTGCCTTATTTGGCGGTGCAACAACATGTTCAAGGATCATGCATCTCTCTTCTAAGGACAAAATTTTCATTTTGGACACCTCTGCCACTAAATAGTTTGGTCGGAGCTGTGAGAAGCGAACTTCCCATAGAATGTCCCGAGGACCTTCCGCTGGTTCTTCCCTGTCACCTTGACCTTGTTTTTAACACACTGGTGAGTTGCCCACGTCATGACAGCTGTCAACACAGACTTCTCCAAATCGGCTGCTTCTGTTTTCTGTTCCGCTTCCCGTAATTCCCTCCTGACACCGAGTCTCACATGTAAATTATCGGAGGACACAACTTTCTTCAAACAACCAGCACACAGTGCCGTCACTTCTTTAGATTCCAACACACTGGTGGCATGGTCTTCAATGAACTCCAGGGCTTTGGTCTCCAGCACAGGTACGTTGAAGAGATGGGCCTGCTCCATGACAACACAGGCACTTTCGATGGACATCTGGGCATCAATGTAGGCAACGATGGCTGTTAGCAGTGGCTCTACATTGTACTTCTGGGCCACATACATCATCTGCATGACTGTGTCATGTGTCACATCCAGCTCCTCTGTGTACACGTACCTACAACAGACACCTTGCATGGGTAACAGACATAAGCTGTGTGTGGTGTGTGTGTGGGTAACAGACATAAGCTGTGTGTGGTGGTGTGTGTGCATGTACCTACAACAGAAACCTTGCATTGCATGGGTACAACAGACATGGGTAAGACATAAGCTGTGTGTGTGTGCATGTACCTACAACAGACACCTTGCATGGGTAACAGACAGCTAAGCTGTGTGTGTACATGTACCTACAACAGACACCTTGCATGGGTAACAGACATAAGCTGTGTTTGGACCAGACACCTTGCATGGGTAACAGACATAAGCTGTGTGGTGTGTGTGCATGTGACACCTTGTATGTGTGTGTGGCTTGGTGTGTGTTGTGTGTGTGTGTACATGTGTGTGTGTGTGTGGCTTGCATGTGTTTGTGACATGTGGTTTGTGGTGTGGTGTTAGCTTGTGGTTTGATGACACCTTGGCTGTGTTTGTGGTGTGGAGTGTCTGTGTGTGCTCGTGTGTAAGTCTAGGGCAGGCATACAATGTCGAGCAACAATCACTCCTGTCAAGGTACAAATACACACAATTCAGTGAGTCTGTTGCCGAGACCTCCCAGTATGTTTGGTCACCTCTTTCAGTAACCATCTGTTGCAGGGGACCACCAAATATAAATATTCGGAGGTGGTGCTCTTATATTTGATATAATATTTTAATGTGAAGTCATAATGGACCAGAGGCCAGTTTCAGGACTGTAAATCTTACTTTCATAAGTGCATGAACGGCACATTTATCACCAGGCGGTATCCTTCAAATAATGTCGACACAGACGGACTACTTCCACATTCCATGAGAAACCCCTGGGATGATGATTAGCCAAATGATCAATGATGAAAAATTATGAAAAATGACTCACTTTGTGTCAGTATGAACCTTCACAGGGTGAGCTTGCAAAATCGGAAGTCAGTTCTTAAATTACTCACCTTAAAAAGGCTTTGAAAGTACCAAGGTCGATGTCTGGGATTTTGATGGTACTGTCATGTTCTGCCATAGGCCCAAGCAGCATTACATAAAACACATCGGACACTGCCAGGAGCTTGTATTTGTGTGCTCCATACCTGTCCTCATTCACTCCTACAGAGAAGAACACATCACAGGCCACCTGATTGGTCAGCATGTATTCGTGACACTGCTTCAGCGACTTCCCCTTCCTCCACTCCTCCAACTCCGGGAAGAATGGGGTGGAGGGTGACACTGGAGTGGAACTGCAAAAGACACGTTGCCTTTCAGTGATATAAACCCTTCAGCACAACCCTTTTCTAATGTTCTTGAAAACAGCATGCTGTCCTAAAAATGTTCAAATCTGGACGAGGCAAACCAGAGATTGATAGTATGACCTCCATCCCATGATGTCAGGTTTTGATGGCAGTTGATGAACCAAGTCAATGAGCGAGGAGGACCAAACAGCTGGTCATTCATAGTAGCCTAGGTCATTAGTGAGTGAGTGAGTTAGTGAGGCTTTGAACAGCATATTGTGGTGCATAAGAGGACCACCTGTGCCAACTGAGCTTCCTTTTAACACAGTGTTGAAGAGTGAGTGAGTTTAGTTTTACGCCGCACTCAGCAACATTCCAGCTATATGGCGGCGGTCTGTAAATAATCGAGTCTGGACCAGACAATCCAGTGATCAACAGCATGAGCATCGATCTGCGCAATTGGGAACAAATGACGTGTCAACCAAGTCAGCGAGCCTGACCACCCGATCCCGTTAGTCGCCTCTTACGACAAGCATAGTCGCTTTTTGTGGCAAGCATGGGTTGCTGAAGACCTATTCTACCCCGGATCTTCACGGGTCCAGTGATGAAGAAGAATACAAGGATGCTAACTCACATGTTTGTTAATGTTTGTGTGGTCTGTTTCACATCTGATCCCTTTGTATCCCCGGTGCTTACTGAGGCTGAAGTCTGCGTCCTGTTGGTCCGTCGAGCTTTCCTCCTTGGTAGCATGGTTGATTTAGCTTCTAAAAAATTTTAAAACATCTTTTCTTAGTGTCTTATCTCAACTTGTGCTGAGGAAAATACTTTGCCCAAAGTCTGCGCCGTACATCAGTAAACATTCCCTACTAAGGCTGAAGGGGGTCGTTGTCGGCACAGGTACTACAGATGTGTACCCCAGGTACGTTTCTGCATACAGAAAGTTACAGCTTGTGTCGACAACGACCTCTTCAGCCCAAGTAAGGGATACTGACTGCAATATCTGACATTAAAGACTGATTAACTCATGACAATAATATATTGCAGTACAAAACTCTGATCAATACACAGTCCTATAAATAACCATGTGTGGACTAGAGAAACCATGATTGAAATTACGAGGACTAGTGCTGGAGCAGGTCACTCAATTCAACTGGAAAGTCCAAACATTTAACAATCTGCTAAAATCTGTTATAATCAATATAAAAACATTATGTACTAACTTGGGTTAGCTTTTGTATTACTGATTCTGCTGTACCTTTGCCCTGTATAGTTTCACCAGAAAGTTATTTACCCTGAATGTTATTCATAACTCTGGTCAGTTGCTGCAACTCAGTTTGAAACAAGTGAGTGAGTGAGTATGGTTTTACGCCGCTTTAAGCAATATTCCAGTAATATCACGCCGGGGGATACCAGAAGTTTGAAACAAGTAACCATCCTGGATGTCTTGGTTGATGGAACACTCAAATGTACCATGTTTGATCTGATGAGTAGATATACTCATGTTTCATATGAAGAAAATATGCAGTTACAAGCAATTCTTGATCTATCAGAAGCACAGAAATATAGATATGGAAATAGAGAGATAACCAACACTAACAAGAGTCCACTCCATTTGGAACCACTGGCACTGGTCATCATTCCCGAGGTCACTCAATTCATAACTCCGGAAACGAGAGTCGAGTGAATTACAAGAATTCAGGGTGCGCCCGGTGAATTGCACGACAACTGGATATGAGCTTGGGCTACTTTGATCGTAAATGGAGTATGTGTCAGCTTTGTTATTACCTGATGTTCTTAATTTTACTCAGTGCAACGTCACTGGGGCCACGTCACTTTCGGTTTCGACCTGGTCTTTTGAAAAGCAGCGCCAGAAGAGCCGGAAATGAACCAAGAGCATTGTGCGAGTATCCCTCCTGCGAACTCCACAAATCAAAGCTGACCGACAGCGCATGCTACCACACTACGTTGTATCTTCAAAAGGTAAGGCAGCGCATTGTCCCTGCGAAGAGCTTAGTTGGCGAAAACTTTCGATATTTTCCGAATGACATTGTGCACCGCATTTTGTGTCATTACACATTACTCGGAACGTTTCGCGTTCGTATCCCACAAAGGTAATATTAAAGCATAAAATTGGAGAAAACATAGTTTTTTTAAATTAGTTCTTTCATCAGGACTAACATGGTTATTCTATCAATCATATTTCGTGTGAACTGAAATGTATATTGAATCGTCAATATATTTCTACCTGAACTGATTTCCACTCCGTCTGCGCTCTGTGTCATGAGAGGAACATATGTACTTTATTGTTATATACAACTCATATATTTTATATACATGTAAGATACATAAAATATTGATTTACATATTAATAGATAGCAAGAATAACTTGTACGTGTACATACCTTTATCCAATTATTGAAGAATATTACACTCGTACGTTAATATTATTTTGTGAGGAAATTACTTTAAATGACACTTTATTTTGCAAAATATGGCTAATTTCCTAATTGTTCCTTATGTATTGCAGTGAAAAAGTTGAGCCATTTTAAGCACATTTGAAGGTTTACAATAAGAATTATGAATGTATTTGTTTCCTTCTTAACAAAGGTAGAGCAAATAAACAAAATTAGAAAAGATGTTTATTACCCAATGTATGGGTTAATTTCTTTCAGTTTATTTCCAGTAAGTGCTTTTAGAGTTTTTAAATGAATATTTCCACCCAGGAATTATTACCGAAACCCACACCTGTTGTAAGGATGCTACTTGAATCCTAAATCGTCCATTTTGAATTTATAATGAGGTCCATGGTTTTGAGTCTATGTTTAGATGATGAGTCACTGCTCTCTATTGTATATGGAGATCTATGGTGTGAACATCTGGTGTGTCTATTTTTAGATGATGAGTCTTTGTCTCAGGTCTATGTTGAGATCTATTGTGAGCACACTTAATGTGTCTATTTTTAGACTCGGGTGGGTATATAAAGTCCACCAAACGGCCCCATGTCATACTCAGTCTCTGAAGTCATTAGTGGATATACATTCAAGTGATTTCACACATTGTGGATATACCAGTGCATTTCTCATTGGATTATACTGTGTGCACTGGATTACTAAACAACCTTGGATTATACTGTCTACTGGATATATATTTTCATCAGCCTCTCAACTACACATCTCTGGAGTAATTAAACATTGTGGATATTTCTCACTTGATTACAAAACATCTTTGGATTATACACTCGAGTGACTACACATTATACTACCAGTGTATTTCTCTTTTATCTCAAAGCGAGCGCCCGTTATCGTAGTATCAATTCCCGTCTGACTAACTATAACTATTAAAAATGTGAAATTCAAATGTATACAACGTCCTACCTTCAGTCCATATCTTGTAACACAGAATACATCGTAACACAGATTAAGATTTACATCATCATCAGATTGAACGAGTGTTGGGGATAAAGACTAGTGTACATGAAGTCAACTTACCTCTGTTCATCATATCCATTGTTGAGGCAAACAGTGGTGGTAAACCTAGATGTTTAGAGGGGTTGGAACAAGTAACCCATTCATGTGAAGAAACAGATTGATTCATACTGTACTCCAACAATGAATGACTCATTTTGCCCACCCGTAAGTCCGACCTACAGCCATTCAAAGCTAAGTGCTTACGGAAGGGAATCCTCTCCCACCCAAGCATGAAGATTAAGAAAACAAGCGCATAATGGAGTGAAAATAAATAACTTCAAATACATGTTACCGAGTGTCCATGTTAATATTTCTTTTAATTTGCGACAGCCTCCGAGTGAGGTGTGTGTTCATTCTGCCATAACATTGCCTCTCCCTACGTTCAATGAACCGAGAAGCATGACTGGCCTTCACGCCCATTGAAGAAACCAGGGTCATAGACCGCTGTCCCCACCGCCATTTTTGAACAAAATGATAAATAAATAGATTTAAACAAATAACAAAGTCCTAGCCATGCCCGCCGATGAACAAAACCGAGTAAAATGTTGAAACTCATAGCGAAATCACACACAGCATGCTTCTCACCAAAATATCCCATGTAGAACGAGTCACCATGAACCTACTTTTAAAAATCCCACATTATCATATATGAATAAATACAGCCCGATACACACACAGGATACCACCTATAGACAGTTGATTACACATGACTCACATACATGAGCCTGCTTTAAAACTCATTAACACAATCACATGAATAAACACAGCCTGATACTTAATAACACTGGGATACGACCGATGAAAGTTGACATGACTCCCATATGCCATGAATCTTTAAATCCCAACACAATAAACACAGTCCAATCATAATCAGAACCTTTCCTAGATTCATCGTTTTTCTAAACTATAGCTTGCATAAAACCAATGTTGTACTCGTGTAACATGTGTACCACATTGTTAACATGTGTACTCGTTCAATACTCACAAATTAGAATGTCAACAACATTCACCTATTGCTGTTTCACGGTCATGAAACCGCAGAATATAAAAACGCACAGAACATACCGGCTGCTTTTACGGCGGTGAACAAAGAAACATTCAAGATGGCATAGCCTAACACGCAATCAAAGACAACCAAACTGGATCGCAAAGCGTCTATCAAACCGGTTCATAAACGGTGACTCAAAATAGGAAATGCTCCGGCAGCTGCATCTCCAAACGGATGGTCATGGGTAAAAATGAAACGGTGACTAGTGTAATAGCCGATGTATTTATAAACCGTTTATATATGTATATATATGTATATAAATATATTCATTACATAGCATTAAACATGTTGTTATATTCATTACAGATCTGTAACAGTTGTTAGCCATCAATACAATAACCGAAACAGTTAAATTGTCAATCAACTTGACGATTAAACTGAAACTTGTATGTCTGATAATAGTGTAAGCGAGTTTAAACATATTCGTGGATTCAGTGAAAGGGAAGTGGTATTATCCAGAATTGCGTCAACAGTCAATATGCAGTGAATTATTCAGTGAGGTTTAGTACACTCTCAGGCGGTAATGTGTACAGAATGCCCAGACAATCGGTGATCACCAGCATGAGCGTCATTCTACACCATAAAGCCATGTGTGTCAGCCGAAACTGACTCGACCACTTCTGTCGCCTCTTATGCATCAGTTGATGGGTTACTGAAGGGTAACTTGAACCAGGGGTACATTATTGGGCGAGAGAATATACAGATTTACAGCTCAAGCTTTCAAATGAGTGAACATTGGGATAGAGCTCTCCCAAATGCCTTCTTTACATCTGTTAGTCTTGTGCAGCTCATCATTCACTCTGTCCTTCCACTCTTCAAGATGTTATGTCTTCATCTTCAGTCATGCGTTTCGACTCCAAGATCGATATTGGTATAATTTTGAAATTTGTGGTAGATCGCTGACGTGAACATTATTATATCCTCTTTCTGTGTGTTATCAGACGCTTCTTTCCGAAGGGATGCCATGCTTGCATTACATGTCAGGAATCAACACAGACAAGCAATGCAGCCACCACCACCACCACCTTCCACCTCACTCCTCACCACCACCACCACTCAGCACCACCACCACCACCACCACCACCACCAGCAGCAGCAGCAAGCACCAGCAAGCAGCAGCAAGCAGCAAGCAGCAGCAGCAGCAGCAAGCAGCAGCAAGCAGCAAGCAGCAGCAGCAGCAGCAGCAAGCAGCAGCAAGCAGCAGCAGCAGCAAGCAGCAGCAGCAGCAGGTGGTGGTAGTGGTGGTGGCAGTGGTGGTGGTGGTGGAGGTGGAGGTGGAGGTGGTGGAGGTGGAGGTGGTGGTGGTGGTGGCTGCATTGCTTGTCTGTGTTGATTCCTGACATGTCTAAGCATGGCATCCCTTCTGGAAAACGTCTGATAGCACACAGGACAGGGATACATAATAATGTTCACACGTCAACAGTCCTACTACAAATTTCAAAATTGTACCAATATCAGTCTTGGGTCGAAGGCATGACTGAAGATGAAGACATAACATCTTATGAAGAGAGTGAAGGACAGGTGGATGAGGAAGGGTAATAAGACAACAGATGTAAAGTAGGCATTTGGGAGAGCTCCTATCCTAATGTCTACTCATTTGAAACGGAGCTAATAAACAATGAAATCTGTATATCTCTTGTTTCTAATGTATTGTACCCCTGAAGGTCTGGGTTACCCTTCAGTAACCCATGCTTGTCATAAGAGGCGACTAAGGGGATCGAGTGGTCAGGCTCGCTGGCTGACACATGGCACATGGTGTAGAATGACGCTCATGCTGTTGATCACTGGATTGTCTGGGCAATTATGTACAGACCACCGCAATAGAGCTGCTGAGAGTGTACTAAACTCACTGAATGTATTCCTGTAGGATTGACTGTTGTACAATTCTTGGTTTTTATAATACCAATTTCAACCCTATTTCACTGAATCCACGAATATGTTTAACCTCCTCATACTATTATCAGACATACAAGTTTCAGTTTAATCGTCATTCCTGTTGATTGAATACAATTTAACAACTGTTTCAGTTCATGGTATTGAAGATAACAACTGTTACAGTTCATTGTATTGAATACAACAACAATTTTAATGATCTGTAATGAATATATTTATATACATATATATATATATAAACGGTTTATAAATACATAAGCTATTACACTAGTGTTGTAAAGCCATTCATTTTGGTCTACATAACCTGCTTGGACATTTAGCCTGGGTTTGGACATGTAGCTATTTTGAGTCAGAACCGTTTGCGAACCGGTTTGATAGACCCTTTGCGATCCAGTTTGACAGGACAGGTTTTAGGCAGGGGCTGCTGGCGCCAAGCTTGAATGTTTTGTTCACCGCCGTGCAGCCGGTATGTTGTGCTGTGTGTTTAGGTATTCTGGCGGTTTCATGACCGTTTAAAACAGCACAGTAGGTGGAATTTTATGTGATGGATCATTCTCTATTCTAATTTGTGAGTATTTTTGCGTATGAACGTATTGTGTGAATAATGTTGTTGACGACAGTATCGTGAGTACACATGTTAACAATACGAGTACATCTACACACTAACATTGGTTTTATGCAAGCTATAGTTTAGAAAAAAACGATGAATCTAGGGAAAGGTTCTGATTATGATTGGACTGTGTTTATTGTGTTGGGATTTAAAGATTCATGGCATATGGGAGTCATGTGTAATCAACTTTCTATAGGTGGTATCCTGTGTGTATCGGGCTGTATTTATTCATATGATAATGTGGGATTTTAAAGTAGGTTCATGGTGACTCGTTCTACATGGGATATTTTGGTGAGAAGCATGCTGTGTGTGATTTCGCTATGAGTTTCAACATTTTACTCAGTTTTGTTCATCGGCGGGCATGGCTAGGACTTTGTTATTTGTTTAAATCTATTTATTTATCATTTTGTTTCAAAATGGCGGCGGGGGACGCGCTCTATGACCTGGTTTCTTCTAATGGGCGTGAAAGGCCGTCATGCTTCTCGGTTCATTGAACGTAGGGAGAGGCAATGTTATGGCAGAATGAACATGGCACACCCACTCGGAGGCTGTCGCAAATTAAAAGAAAGCATTAACATGGACACTCGGTAACATGTATTTGAAGTTATTTTTCACCCATTATACGCTTGTTTTCTTGAATCTTCATGCTTGGTGGAGAGGGATTCTCTCCAAACTTAGCTTTGAATGGCTGTAGGTCGGACTTACGGGTGGGCAAATGAGTCATTCATTGTTGGAGTACAGTATGAATCAATCTGTTTCTTCACATGAATGGGTTATTTGTTCCAACCCCTCTAAACATCTAGGCTTACCACCACTGTTTGCCTCAACAATGGATATGATGAACAGAGGTAAGTTGACTTCATGTACACTAGTCTTTATCCCCAACACTGCCTCATCTGATGATGATGCAAATCTCAAATCTGTGTTACGATGTATTCTGTGTTACAAGATATGGACTGAAGGTAGGACGTTGTATACATTTGAATTTCACATTTTTAATAGTTATAGTTAGTCAGACGGGAATTGATACTACGATAACGGGCGCTCGCTTTGAGATAAAAGAGAAATACACTGGTAGTATAATGTGTAGTCACTCGAGTGTATAATCCAAAGATGTTTTGTAATCAAGTGAGAAATATCCACAATGTTTAATTACTCCAGAGATGTGTAGTTGAGAGGCTGATGAAAATATATATCCAGTAGACAGTATAATCCAAGGTTGTTTAGTAATCCAGTGCACACAGTATAATCCAATGAGAAATGCACTCAGGTATATCCACAATGTGTGAAATCACTTGAATGTATATCCACTAATGACTTCAGAGACTGAGTATGACATGGGGCCGTTTGGTGGACTTTATATACCCACCCGAGTCTAAAAATAGACACATTAAGTGTGCTCACAATAGATCTCAACATAGACCTGAGACAAAGACTCATCATCTAAAAATAGACACACCAGATGTTCACACCATAGATCTCCATATACAATAGAGAGCAGTGACTCATCATCTAAACATAGACTCAAAACCATGGACCTCATTATAAATTCAAAATGGACGATTTAGGATTCAAGTAGCATCCTTACAACACACACCCCTAATTCCCACCCCTAACAAAGAACAGGGACAAACAACCAATCGAATAATCGTGATCACAAGACAATAATAATCGTAATTGACAGAAACTAGACAAATCATGCAATCTACCTTTGCTTCCAAACTGATTTTTCTGATTTTTTTCTAATTTGAGGAATTTTTCTTTGACCATTTTATTTATTTATTTATTATATTTATTATATGATATTTATATAGCGCACACATATCCAGGCAACTAGTGCTTGCTCAAGGCTCTGGTATTTTTTCCCTCCATCATTGGATGTCAGTCTCAACGGCACATCGTGTTATCAATCTCAACTCCCTGGGGATCATACAACTCCCCAGGCGTGCAGTCTTGAGAATTTTAAAAGGCAACGTTTCTATTCTATTCTTAACTAGCAATAATTAGTAAAAACAATAATTTGAAACACTGCGACAATTTCGGAGCACCTTTAGAGTCTCAAGGTATTTTCGTCCTGATGTTTAACATTTTTGCACGAACATATGCTTGCTTTGTCTTTCGTTAAACCTTTTCTAATTTTTTTTTTTTAACAACCCAAATATTTCCATGGTTGTGGTGCCAAGTACATTGCTTATTTTATCGTTTATTGTGACATCAAGTTGATCATTTTGCGATCACAAATCATAAACAATCAATCTATCAATAGCTGTTGTAACCTTACATCAAATAGCATCCACGTAATCATTAACAAGTGTTTTGTTAGATTTTCTAATGGAGCTTACTTCATTGAAAAGTCGTGCTTGGCATTATGGGCAATTGTAAAGGACAAAGATATAGGAGCATGTATATATATATATCAGAGTACAATGGGATAAAGTCGTGCATTATAATGTTTCCCTGGCTTGAAAGACATTTGTGCTTGCAACAGAGTAATCCACGAAACTGACACTTTCACAAATTAGCTCACCAATAGCTTTATCCGCTATTGATACTTAACAGGTTATTGACTTTACAGAAGTTAAAACTATATAATATCCGTGCGATTTAACTTTACCTTTGATTAAATCTCTCACGCGAGACATCAGCTGCTTCCATTTTTCCATCGTCGTTCTTGAAATCACATATTTCACCAGGTAATACAATAAATATATCATGAATGACAGGTGCTAATTGTAGAGCAGGACCCTTTTCGCGAACACCTGGTGTCATCACTGATTTCAAAGGATAGTCAATACTGAGTAGTCTTTTGCACTGGCATTTTATGTTCACACACACAGGACATCAAGTAGTCCCTTAACCATAAAACAAGAAATTAATCTGATTATGCAACAGTAATGAAGTATTATTTAATGCATAGTTAACAGCGTTGGATGCATGAAACAAGACAAAACGTGATTTTCACCCTCAAAGAAAATAAGCACGTGCTTCTAATCAATATCAGCACTTACCTATTTTGAGAGAACACTGAAATCTTGGTTTAAATCTTGGTTTATTGAACAATAATGTCCACAATGATTACATAATTGTACAACATAAAGAAGAAAAAGTAACAGTCACATATACTTTCACCAGAACACATTCATAACATAGTCCAGTTGTCCCTCTCCATCAGTTTGTCCCCTGCATCTCCCACTGCACCTTTAACGCTGAAGACTAAGGTCTACAGGTAGACTAATGCTTAGTCTGTGGATATATATATAATTTTGATAGTAACAAACAAGCCCATTTAAATTGAAAAGGAGACCCAGGGAGACCAGAGATTGAACCTGAGGAAATCTAGACTTGCTTTATTTAGGGCTTTTGCACTGCAGAGAGGGTTTGGCAGTGGGGAAAATAATGTGGTTCAGGGACTGTGAGACAGACTAGTCTACAGGTTGCTCCCACTGTTATCCTCTCTTCTATTTTTCATCTTCCGCTTTGAACTCCACCTCATCGTCCGCCATTTTCCTTATCTCATCAGCACTAAGACGCCCACTGTCGTTGGTAACGGTGAGCTGGTTAGATTTCCCCGTGCCCTTCTCCACTGCCGTGACGTTGAGGATGCCGTCGTCGTCGACGGAAAACGTAACATCCACTTCTGGAACGGCCTTTGGAGCTGGAGTGATACCTGACAGGTCAAACTTGCCCATCAAGTGATTGTCTTTGGTCATGTTCTCTCTCCCTCGTATACTTGTATGGAGACGGCGGGTTGGTTGTCGGAGTAGGTGCTGAAAGTCTGGGTTGTCTTGGTCGGGATGGTGGTGTTCCTCGGTATAAGTGTGGTCATGACGCCTCCCGTTGCCTCGATCCCGAGGGACAGTGGAGCAAGGTCGAGTAGAAACACGTCTTTGATAGCGTCGCTTGTGTCACCGGTCAAAACGGCAGCTTGGACAGCAGCGCCATACGCAACGGCTTCGTTGGGGTTGATGGATTTGTTCAGTTCCTTCCCGTTCATGAAATCTTGCAGAAGTTTCTGGATCTTTGGAATTCGGGTGGACCCTCCAACAAGAACAACCTCGTGGATGCTCGACTTGTCCATCTTGGCGTCACGAAGGGCTTTCTCCACTGGTTCCAAAGTACCTCGGAATAGGTCCGAACATAATTCTTCAAACCTTGCTCGTGTTATCTTACTGTAGAAGTCGACTCCTTCGAAAAGCGAGTCAATCTCTATCCCCGCCTCGGAACTGCCTGAGAGGGTTATCCTTGCATGCTCACATGCTGTGCGCAGTCGATGCATAGCTCGAGAACTCACACTCAAATCCTTCTTATGTCTTTTCTTGAATTCCTCCACAAAGTGATCCATCAACCTGTCATCGAAATCTTCACCTCCCAGATGTGTGTCGCCTCTTGTCGACTTGACCTCAACCATGGACTCTTCGTCAATTGTCATAACAGACACATCAAATGTCCCTCCTCCGAGATCGAAAATAAGGACATTTTTCTCACCTTTGGGTTTTTTATTAAGTGCATATGCCAGAGCGGCTGCTGTTGGTTCGTTGATAATTCTCAGCACGTTCAGACCGGCAATTATCCCGGCATCTTTTGTCGCCTGCCGCTGCCCATCGTTGAAGTATGCTGGAACTGTGATCACAGCGTCCGTTACCTTGGCGCCCAGGTATGCTTCGGCAGTCTCTTTCATCTTAGTAAGAACCATAGCAGTAATCTGTTCAGGTGCGAATGTCTTCTCTTCATTCTTGTATTCGACCTTAACGCGAGGTTTACCGCCATGATCAACAACTTTGAATGGCCAGTGCTTCATGTCCTCCTGAACGGTGGCGTCGTTGAAGTCTCGGCCGATGAGTCGCTTGGCGTCGAACACGGTGTTTTGAGGATTGAGAGCCACTTGATTCTTGGCCGCATCTCCTAAGAGCCGCTCACTGTCCGTGAATGCGACGTAGCTGGGAGTCGTTCTGTTTCCCTGATCATTGGCAATAATGTCCACTTTTCCATGCTGAAATACCCCAACACGTGAGCATGTTGTCCCCAGGTCGATTCCGATAGCTGGAGTTTTACCGTCCATCCTCAGAGCTGCTTCACAAGGTGTCACTGCTTCACAAGGTGTCACTGCTTCACAAGGTGTCACTGCTTCACCTGCATGGGCCTTCACTGTTATGCGCAACGCTGCTGAACACAATGCTAATATTTAGTAAACGTGGTGTCAGCAAGCTGGTGTGGTGAAGATTTACTCACAGTGCAGCCTGCATTTAGAAAGCTTTTTACCATAAGCAATTAACGAATACACCTACTGTTCTATCTATATTATCTCCAGTAATGTATGTATTCTAATAAGACCCATATCCGTGACCAGGTTGCATAGCTTCGTTGTGAACCCGATTTGAATGACACGACGCTAAGTTAGGGCAGCATCTATATTATCTGTGTTTCTCATCGCCCAACCGACCCTTCTAATTTTATTGCCGACCCCCCAAAATTGTTTCTTTTTCATTCCAACACCGCCGACTCGAACCTAAAACGTACTGCCTCGTCATACATTTTTTTTATCTTTTAATCAGTTGCTGTCACAAGTCCAAAGAACGCGAGGAATTGTAATAAGAATTACAATGAATGAGAATCAAGATCATTATTAAAATCATTTTGTCTTTATTAATTTTTTTCCCCAACCGACCGATCCATGGAAATTTCGCTAACGATGACTCACTTATGGCCAACTACTGTAGCACGTCGTGATAAAACTGAAACGATTCATTGCACATACGAATCACATACATAACCCTAAAATCACTATAAATGTTTATTGTTTCATTGCATACACATGCCCTTCGGTAAATATACAATAGATCTATAAAACCCCTATCAATGTTCACTGTCTGATCTAGCTTTGTTATGAATGTCTCCGCATTTAGAACAGACATTATACAGCTGAAAATTACTTAGTCACGGTTTCGTATGTATTTCAACATCAGTTTATCAAATAGTAATTTACTCACTGTACGTAGCAATTTTCTGGTAGAAAACGCATTTGGATGTGTTAAACACGACTCATTGACACTGGAATAAAGAAACAAATATCGATTGACTAATAAGGAGATAAAACTATTGGATTTTAGCTTGAGGTAGTCTAACCGTAGATAATTAAGATACCATTTTTCTTAATCTGGAATCTAGTGTCGGTTTTCGAAGTCAAACACATCTGAGCGAGTAAGCCTTTAAACCTTTTCGCAATATTCCAAATATCATGTTGGGTGGAACAACAAATGAACAAATGGCACGTTGTAAAAATTCGGTGACTCAAACCTGATAGTTCCGCCAGAGTGAGTGAGTGAGTTGGGCTTTACGCCGCTTTTAACAATATTCCAGCAATATCACGGCGGGGTACACCAGAAATGGGCTTAACACATTGGGCTTACCCATATCGGGAATCGAACCCGGGCCTTCGGCGTGACGAGCGAACGGTTTAAGCACTAGACTACCCCACCAATCCCGTTCGGCGAGACGAAGCGATGGTGTGTTTGCTTCAAGACCGGAGACCGCCAGATGATTTAGGGTGCCTTTGTATTACTAGCGTCCGCCCGGAGAGCGGAAGGTCGCGGGTTCGATCCCCGACCGCGTCATACCAAAAGACGTTAAAATATGGTACTTGTTGGTCCCTGCCTGGCGCTCGGCATTAATGGGTACAACAAGGACTGGTCGGCTCGGAGTCAGTATAATGTGTCTGAGTGGGGTCTTCATGCTTCACTGCGGCATGGTATCTCAGTGGGCTAGCACTATAAAACCAGCGTCAGTCTGGGCTAGTACAAGCAGCCGCACATACACATACACACGCATGCACGTCGTCATATGAGCGAAATATTCTCAAGCACGACGTAAAACCCAATTTCACCTCACCACCTCCTTTGACTTAGTAGGATCCGCTGGTCGTGGATTCGAATCCCCAGTTGGTCCTGATTACTTACCTTGGCACGGTACCAGCATACCCGTACACTTGGTTAAATCTCAGACCTGTATCACCTCGGACCTTACTCTATAATTAAACTGATACGCGGTGATATAACTGATATCGCACTTGATTGAGTGCCACGATTGATTGAGTGAGTGAGTGAGTGAGTTTTACGCCGATTTTAGCAATATTCCAGCAATATCACAACGGGGGATACCAGGAATGGGCTTCACACATTGTGCCCATGTGGGGAATCGAATCCGTGCCTTCGGGGTGACGAGCGAACGCTTTAACCACTGGGTTTTATAACCGTAGGTAGATCCAGTGAAAACGTCAGTCAGAAACTAACTACTCATCCAGTGATAGTGACATTGCTGGAATACAGAAAGAGGCTTAAAACTACACTCTTTCTCATAGTGCGTTAAAATAATCGAAGGTAATTTGGCAAATTGATTAAATATAGTCCATACCTAGCGCATTATAGAAACTTCCTCCGCCTAACCATGCTGATCGTGTAAGAGGCGACAAAATAAACGGTTGGTCATGCTCGCTGACTTCGTTGTGAGTGGCATACTACGGCTTTACTCATAATATAAATCACGGGATTAAATACGGGACACCGCAGTCACGCAGCTGAAATGCAGCTTACTGCGACGTAAAACGAGAAAAACAAAACAAAAACAAACGTAAAAAGGCTTGAGACTGGTTCACCAGCAATGTGGGCAGTGGGGTAGACTAGTGACTAAAGCGTTCGCTCGTGACGCCAAAGATCCGGGTTCGATTCCCCACATGGGTACACTCACCGGCAATGACTTAACAAGCAGATGCATTATTTACAGTCTCTATGGTGTGAAATAGTCAACTATGACCGTGCAATATCTCGAAATTAATATGCAACAATGACGTAATCAATGTGAGTTAGAATGTGTATATAGCTGTTAGGGCTGATAGGATTCACTCGTGTCTTCGGTGAATCGAACGTATCCCCCCATGAATATAATTCGTTATTCATCATCACTGGTATCAAATGTTGACTTTTTAAAGTGAGTGAGTGAGTGAGTGAGTTTAGTTTTACGCCGCATTCAACAACATTCCAGCTATATGGCGGCGGTCTGTAAATAATCGAGTCTGGACCAGACAATCCAGTGATCAACAGCATGAGCATCGATCTGGGCAATTGGGATGCGATGACATGTGTCAACCAAGTCAGCGAGCCTGACCACCCGATCCCGTCAGTCGCCTCTTACGACAAGCATGGGTTGCTGAAGGCCAATTCGAACCCGGACCTTCACGGGTTTTTAAAGATATTTGAATTTGGATCGCATATATCGAAACAGGATATGCAAAACGAAATATACCCCAACAAGGCCTGATAATAGCCAACACTCTTCAACATTCGGCTTGACAGTATTGTGGTTACTGGTCCTTGTCCTTACAGATTTACTGTCAACATGGTCAAATCATGTTGCATGATTACCTGGTGATTGTTTCACTGGAATAATTGAAGACCTGTTTAATTTCGGACTTTCCTCCCAAATTAAGCTGACACTGTGATATCACTGACATACGTCTAAAACCAGCGTTAAACTTATACTCACTCACTCACACAACCGCATTGATTCAGTCAGTTGATATATATACAAGTTGTGTCCCCTTTACTATTACCCCGACATGCCTGATATATTGTTTAAAGCCACGGACAATGCCTTTCTATCACTGATCAGATTATCTGTTTTGTAGAAAACATCCAAGCACCAATCTCATTAAGACGACTAAAGCTAAACAAGGACGACATCCTATTGCAGCTCCATTGGGTCCGATGGCAGGTCGTTCCGCCGTCATCTGTAACGTCATCACAACTTTGAGTGAGTTTAGTTTTACGCCGCCATATTCCAGCTATATAGCAGCGGTCTGTAAATAATCGAGTCTGAACCAGACAATCCAGTGATCAACAATATGGATTGTGATACGATGACATATGTCAACCAAGTCAGCGAGCCTGACCACTCGATCCAGTCACATATTCAGAACCATCCAAAAGAGGATTAACACTTCCATTCTAGATCAATTCTAACCCGGATCTTTACGGGTTTCAGAACTTTGCGATTTGATTAGTTTGGTTGCGGCCCAATTGAGTTCCTTGGGTTATATACCTCACATATACCCAACATATACCAAAGTATATTTAGGTACATGCATCCAGTACCTACTATACAGGAAATTCGGCACACATCGACGTGTATGCACGTTTGTGCCAGCTGAACAGTGCTAACCCACTGAGGTTACATACCAAAGTTTTGAGTGGGTGTGTCAAGCACTTTATACTGACCTAGCTAGAGTACACCTGTCCTTGTTTAATCCCCTTAATGCGCAGGAAGGATAACACCTAGTACCAGTTTAACCGCACGAGACGTATCGGCCAAGTGATCGAATCATTGACATTCCGCTCAGCCACGGAGCCAATTCTATATCCAAAGCATGTACATAATCAAACGCTATTAAGATCAACACAAACATGATACAACTCATAGGTAGGTTCAAGAGTTTTATTACATACACGTGACATCAAACAATACATCGAAAACACACAAATAACACCAATAAACATCTCATTGTTCCTGATAAAAATATGTCGACATCATAGTGCTAAACTGAGTCCGAGGTAGCGAGTTCATTTTTATACACTGACTGACTGACTGAGTTTAGTTTTACGCCGCTTTTAGCAACATTCCAGCAATATCACGGCGGGGGACACCAGAAATGGGCTTAACACATTGTGCCCATGTGGGGAATCGAACCCGGGTCTTCGGCGTGACGAGCCAACGCTTTAACCACTAGGCTACCCCACCGCCCTCATTTTTATAGAACATTCTGTTCGTGGATATATGTTCAGTAATTGACGAAGTAAATAACTTAACTCGATTTTAAAGAAAATGATTGATTAAACCACTTTCCCAATAGAATTGTCCAAGCAAATAAAGTGATATATCTTCATCAACCAAAATTGACTAAATTCGAAGTTGCATTTATGACATAGTTAAGAACGTCGGTTGATAGAAACAAAACAAAATTTAACTTTTAACCCTAAACTAAATCATTATATCCATGTACTCTTTATGATCAATATCATTACTTACATATTCTGATAGAAAAATACAGTCCGTCCGTTCAACACTGAACAATAACATTTACATCCGCGAGAACACATTCAGATGAGAGTCGAGTTAATCGATATCGATATCTTCCGATGCCCCACCCTGGGGTTGAGATTCCTGACCACTCCCACTCTGTCCCGCCCCATGTAATTTGGCCATGATAGGACTGCACGTCTTCTGAAGTTCCTTGTATTGATGTTCATATTCCTCTCGTTCAGCAAGCATGTTATTGTCCAGCCAAGTGAGTGTCTCACTGCAAGCCTGCTTCACTGTCTCCTTGTCCCCCTTCCCTAGTTTGTCCCCAGCGTCCTCCACAGCACCTTTAACGCTGAAGATGTACGTCTCCAGGTTGCTCCGACTGTTTATCCTTTCCTTCTGTTTTTCATCTTCCTCTTTGTACTTCTCCGCGTCGTCAACCATTTTCTTTATCTCATCAGCACTGAGACGCCCACTGTCGTTGGTGATGGTGATCTGGTTGGATTTCCCCGTACCCTTCTCCACTGCTGTGACGTTGAGGATGCCATTGGCATCGATGTCAAACGTAACCTCGATTTGTGGAACACCCCTTGGAGCGGGCGGGATGCCTGTCAGGTCAAACTTGCCCATCAAGTGATTGTCTTTGGTCATCGTTCTCTCTCCCTCGTATACTTGTATGGAGACGGCGGGTTGGTTGTCGGAGTAGGTGCTGAAAGTCTGGGTTGTTTTGGTCGGGATGGTGGTGTTCCTCGATACAAGTTTGGTCATAATGCCACCCGCTGTCTCTATCCCGAGGGACAGAGGAGCAAGGTCGACTAGAAGCACGTCTTTGATAGCGTCGCTTGTGTCACCGGTCAAGACGGCAGCTTGGACAGCAGCGCCATACGCAACGGCTTCGTCGGGGTTGATGGATTTGTTCAGTTCCTTCCCGTTCATGAAATCTTGCAGAAGTTTCTGGATCTTTGGAATTCGGGTGGACCCTCCAACAAGAACAACCTCGTGGATGCTCGACTTGTCCATCTTGGCGTCACGAAGGGCTTTCTCCACTGGTTCCAAAGTACCTCGGAATAGGTCCGAACATAATTCTTCAAACCTTGCTCGTGTTATCTTACTGTAGAAGTCGACTCCTTCGAAAAGCGAGTCAATCTCTATCCCCGCTTCGGAACTGCCTGAGAGAGTTCTCTTTGCACGCTCACATGCTGTGCGCAGTCGACGCATAGCTCGAGGACTCACACTCAAATCTTTCTTATGTTTTCTCTTGAATTCCTCTACAAAGTAATTCACCATCCTGTTATCGAAATCTTCACCTCCCAGATGTGTGTCGCCTCTTGTCGACTTCACTTCAAACAGGGACCCCTCGACAATTGTCAAAACAGACACATCAAATGTCCCTCCTCCGAGATCGAAAATAAGGACATTTTTCTCACATTTGAGATTCTTATCAAGTCCATATGCTAGCGCAGCTGCTGTTGGTTCGTTGATAATTCTCAGCACGTTCAGACCGGCAATAATCCCGGCATCTTTTGTCGCCTGTCGCTGCCCATCGTTGAAGTAGGCTGGAACTGTGATCACGGCGTCCGTTACCTTGGCGCCCAGGTATGCTTCGGCAGTCTCTTTCATCTTAGTAAGAACCATTGAGCTCAGTTCCTCAGGTGTGAATTTCTTTTCCTCGTTTTTGTATTCGACCTTAACACGAGGTTTACCGCCATGATCAACAACTTTGAATGGCCAGTGCTTCATATCCGCCTGAACGGTGGCGTCGTTGAAGTCTCGGCCGATGAGTCGCTTGGCGTCGAACACGGAGTTTTGAGGATTGAGAGCCACTTGATTCTTGGCCGCATCTCCTAAGAGCCGCTCACTGTCCGTGAATGCGACGTAGCTGGGAGTCGTTCTGTTTCCCTGATCATTGGCAATAATGTCCACTTTACCATGCTGAAATACCCCACACACAGGAGTATGTTGTCCCCAGGTCGATTCCGATAGCTGGAGCCTTACCGCCAGGCATTTTGTGTATCAGGAACAGTAATGGTCCGTACAGGTAAGTAAAGGTCCCTTTTTAGCTCTCGCCGAATCTGTGGTGTTCTCCCTGCTGTCGACGTGCTGAATGTGCGGTAGTTAGGGGCGTTCCAGGTTATATAGCCGATCAGGACGGACCAGAAACGCGAAGGAGCTTCTAGAAAGCACATGCCGTAATGTTTACTATGTATTTTTAGTTCTTCGTGACGTCATGAATAAATCAGGAATTTCCCATGGGAGACAACTCTTTATGTCCTTAATGGACAATTCGGTTATTTCCGTGAGGATTAAAAGCCGCATTCGGCACAGTCGTCCCTTTCCGTTACCTCTCGGCTTTTTCGAACTGACACGACTATTCACGAGGGCCTACGGAAATCCCCGATCACATTTATTTCCCGAACTTTCCAGGCTCGCGGCGTGCTGTGGTGAAAACGATATTCCAGCTGGCTTCCCTGAATCACGCAATATACATTTGTACTCGTGTGGTTGCTAGTACAATGTGGAATATTCGAGACGCTGTCGCAGCAGAAAACAGTGACTAGCATACAATGAATTAATGTTCTATCGCATTAGTCCATGCTGACACCATATAAGCAACTTTGGTGTGACAAATTACTATTTTTATATACGTATATTCATTATACGTTGAGACGAAACCAGAGTTTATCAATGCTATTGATTGTCCAAATTATATGAAATTGTACCCTCATTTGTTGAGTGTCCTCGAATATATCGTTTAAGACACACTAGACTTAAATCATATGATCAATTAAATATTTATGGGATTTCGAGGGGAAGTTAACACACGCAATTTCTTTTTTATGAATGAAACAAACTGAATTTTAGAATTCTGTTTATATTAGTAATGATTAGACAATAGCCACTCGAATTCAGTTCGATCCCGTATGTATATTATAAGGGACCGTCCATAATCTATGGTTGGGGGTGGGGGTGTGATGATGACTGTAGGGGTGTCACCCACTTAGTGTAAAGGGGGTGGGGGTGGGGGTGATCATTTTGGAGCACTAGGGGTGTGTCATTGATTTTGTACATGATAGCGGGGTGGGGTGTCACTTACTTTATATCTGATTTTTTTTTTTTTTAAATTAATTTTTTTTTTTTATTTATCTATTTATTTATTTATTTTATTTTTATTTATTTATTTATTTATTTATTTATTTTTTTTTTTTTTGGGGGCATACCTCTCGGTAAATATCACACAGCCATAAATTATGAATGGTCCCTTAAAACGCCATTAGACGCCATTAAAAGTGGTTATTCGGACATTCATCTCAAACTCAGGGTGATATGTGTTATTGACTGACTGCAAGGTATTATTTACCCCCGTTGTGAAATGGTAATGTACCAGTAAATCTGTCAGTGTAACAAGGTGCGGGTCAGTCCAGCATATAACTACTCTGCACCATACCAAGGTTGCCTTGGCTGGATGATACGAGTTTATTTATATGAACTAGGGGCGTGACTGTCCCAGATAAGAGGCCTCGTTGAGGCTTAGCACACGGGGATATATACAAATTGTGTATTTTAAATTTCGGTTCACCTACAAATTTTTCTATGTTATTCCCAAGCAGGAATTTTTTTTATATTTGCGGTATCCACCGCAATTAAATTAAACTCATACTATAGTTGTCATAATATGGTCTGAGATTCAATCTCATGTGCCGTATTGAATCATAAAATGGCCGCCGGGAAAACTGCGTTGATGCAAACGAGGTGCAAACGTGAATTACTTGAAATGAAGTTTACGATTTACTTGAATTTTCCTTTTATCGTGATGCAGACATTTTCCTGAAGCACAGGCAGATATATCACACTCTGGTAAACTGGCATGTAGTGATTTTAAGTAGGCTTGAGTCAATGAAGAGCAAGAATTAGTGTCCGCAAGAGCGGTGTCGGGTACAAGCGGCTACCGACAAAATTACATTTCCGTATGTATGTTTCTCAACTTGCTGGTCGTGACAGCTTTTTCTGAGCGTATAGGTTCAGAGCTACTAGAGTATCTTCCAGCAAAATTGTCATTTCACATAGAAAATGTAACTCGAAACATGAAGAAAAGAGAGAGAGAAAAGGGAAAAAGACGAAGAACGGGCATCACATCTTACAGGTAATGCGTTAGACTAACAACTAGTCTCATAATATAAAAATAGAATATAATAAAAAGGAGCCCTGAGACTTTCTTCATTTCAAATCTAGACTCGCCACATATTCCAGACTTGCATGGGCGTTCTTGGATATAATTGTTTCAGGGTCTATATGACAGACTAGTATTGCGTGTGTGATCGATCTTTCTAAAAATAACAGAATGTAAGTGTTAGCACCTCACACAATTCTAGACATAATGCAAGGTTTTGTTGACCATGAATGGATCGTACAAAAGGCAATATAGGTGTGCTGTGACCTATAATGAGCGAAGTGATCGTAAAATACTCAGCTTTCCGATATCAGCTTATACCATGGTTACCCAGGTGTCTATACACTTCAAGTTTTCCATGTCAGATTCAGATTGTAAAGACCGGGCTTGAAGACAGCAACACACACGATGAGGCGCCGGAGTACCCATTCCCCACACTTACATATCAGATGAAAGCTAACTAACCCGTTGGTTAAATCAGCTGGTCTGCATGTATATTTTGAACATGATTTAACTAAGAAATCTACGCCAGGTCTACAGCATATTCCCAGCTATATCCTCGCTTTTCTCGTTTTCCATTGTAAATACAGATTGTGAAGGCTGGACTAGAAGACAGCAACACAGCGGGTGAGGACAAATGCCCCTGAACATGTTCATTTGTAAACTAGTTTCAACTGTATAACATTTTTAAGATAGCTCGACGCGAGACTCTGGTCAGCTGCCTCTACTGCTGTGCTGCTGTCACCTAGCCGTTAATAGATCTACTAAAGGAAGGACAACAGACTCATGTGTATACCATTCATTGATATTTATTAAGGTTCCATCAAGAAATGGAATGGCATGTGCCAAAAGAGAGCATCAAAATCGGGGCCGAAACTGAGGCAAAGTCAAGAGAGGAATAAACTTAGAAATGTCAGTCAAAGGGTATGCCAAACATTGATTAAGTGGCCGAAAGAGTGTGTCCAGAAATAGGCCGAAATATGTAGCCAAATCAGACCAAAAGGCACCACAATACATCTTACCACACAGAACACTCAGTCACGAACACATCATACATGCAAAACACACCTCTCACACATCCACCAATACCCATATGCAAAACGTCTCTCACACATTCACAAATACAAACACACCCTCAAACACTCACAGATACACCCTCACACATGCAAAACACACCTCTCAAACACTCACAGATACACCCTCACACATTCACAAATACACCCTGACACATGCAAAACACACCTCTTAAACACTCACAGATACACCTTCAAACATTCACACATACACCCGATCACACATGCAAACGATCGTGTTCATATACGCGCATTCAGACATGCACAAAATGCAGGAACTCTCTCTCTCTCTCTCTCTCTCTCTCACACACACACACACACACACACACACACACACACAAAACACATCTCTCACACATGCACCAACTTACAAATGTAAAACACATCTGACACATACATCCAGTTATGCTTAATACAGCATCTAACACATGCACACTCTCAAACATTCATACAAAACACACCCTCGCACACATATACACTTTAACCTGCATACACGCACGCACGCACGCACGCGCACACACACACACTGGATGAGAAATCTACGAGAAGATTCTCCTAAAGAAGGCGCTCACTCTCCTCAGCGCCTTCCTCACAGGATGAACCTCTCGGTCCTCCACGAAGCTGTCCTCGTCCTCGTCTTCATAGACCCAGTAGTCACTGTCGTCGTCACTAGGGGCAGGATAGTGGTCGACGTAGGTGATGGTGACTGGGGCGGGGAGCGTCTCACCGTGGTCAGGGCGGGCCCAGAATGGGGTGAAAACACTCAGGGGGTCATGTGAAGGGGTCGGGGAAGCAGCCTGGGGACGCTACATCAGTCAGTGGGGAGGGAGGAGGGAGAAAGGAGGGTCATTTAAAAGAGGTTATAGGAGGTTGGCAAAAGAAAGTCATAGTCATAGTCCCAGATTACACATGTCAAATAATGTTAATGTGTACATGAGAGACGGGCGTGAGGGGTTATTTTCAGGACACCATAACAGACGGGAAATCGTCCAGTGCAAAAGCACGTTTAAGATATCACTGGCTCATGGACAAAAGAAACACGCCATTCCGCCGAATATGAAGCAGGTGTAGATAGAATACATACACCGTCGGAATCCTCATCCAGCGACGGCCATAGACTAGCAGCAGGAGTGACATGATACCGGATCATGTCTTCCCGTGCTGAAAATAACCCAAACAGCACATTCAAATACACAATAACTACATGTACAACAAAACCTCCTTAACCTTTAAATCCAAAATATAACGAGATATTCGTACTTCCAGAAAGACGGATTGCACATATTCGGACATCGGGCCAATAGAGACTCTTCTGATAGTTCAAAGTTACTTGATATAAAGTTAGGGCTCGAGTTAAAGTGTTTTCACCTTCAGGACAAGACGACATGGACCCTCTACTCAGCAAATATAGATATATAGATCCCTGCAGACGTTGTTATTTACCCCTTAGCATTTTTATGAACAGACGGACGGACACACGCTCATTGTTTCCTTACAAAATGCATCATCTAATGATGTCAATGTAGGCCGTAGTAGACTCCAGGTCAAAATTTCTTTTAAAAAGTCTAATATACATAAATTTCATCTGAAATGAATTTACATTATGCCCCGTCATATGTATACACGAAAAGATCACATTTCGAGGGCAGAAAGGCCAAGTAAAATATAGACATTTCTGAATTTTAATAAAAATTGCAAATGGCGGCCATGTACAAATGTCATCGCTATCGGTACTGCTGTCAAACTGCGACCAATTCCAGTAGAAATCTACGTCCTTTACACCTTAAAATACAATAACTGTCTTCTTAAATACCTTGAATATGCAGCCTTGTAAACATATTGTCAGTAGAAGATCTTGAAATGATGCTGTAGTCAACGATA